TTTGTACATGGTAGGGTATAATAAATTCAGATATGTACAGATTGGTATGGCTGGAATTATATTTTCGTTAAAGTTAACTCACTAATTCCATCCTCTGATTATTGTTAAGAAATGCATTATCCCTGAGGGAGAGTCCCATTAAAGTTAAGCAAAAAGTGCAGGAAATATGTGGTGATTCTTTATTTCATAGAGGCAAGGCCCTATGCCATATACATATACATGAGAATTAAAATTCAGAGGAGTGATGGTTGTCACGGTGAGGTATATCAACACATTTATTTGAATTTAAAAAGGAAGTCACACTTTTCTTGACTTAAAAAATATGCATGCAAGATGTGCTGAAATCCACAATATATCTATTTTCTCAACCTTTCTAAATATATTGCATTGAATAACCAGCATAATCAATAGCATGATTACAGTAAGGAATGTCATGAAAAGCCTCACTGGTATATACTTTTCAGAAAGTGGCAAGCAAATAAGTTGGTAAAAATTGGTAAGAAATCATTTTACAAGTCAAGAAGCTTCCAATTCTTTGCTTATGACAGAATTAAAGATTCTAACTAAGTTATTAGCTTTTAGATCAGTAAAAATGATTAACAAATGATTGAATAAACAAATAAATGGGGGAGAATAGATCAATCTTCTCCACAGAAGAATTCAAAATAATTTATATAGATACCCCAGCCTCAAAGAGGTATAACTCCCCACTCCTTAAGTGTGGGATGTACAAATGACTTCTTTCCAAAAAGTAAAGAATGGAAAGTGGGCGGGGGGGGGGAAGCTTCACAGTGGAGAAAACCTAAAAACATCATCTTAGTCAGGTGATGAAGGGCAACATCAACAGAAATAAGTCATGTTCATAGTAAGTACCCCAGATACAATGCTATGAAAATGGTACTTCTGTGGTCTTTCTTCCCCAAACCTATAACTCCAGTCTAATCACGAGAAAAACATGAGAAAAATCCCAACTGTAGAACATTCTACAAAATACCTGATCAGTATCCCTCAAAACTGTCAAGGTCATCAAAATGAAGAAAGTTTAAGAAATTGTCATAGTCAAGAGCTGCCTTAGGAGACATAACTATCAAATATAATAGCTGCCAGTTAGCTCACTTGGTTCGAGTGTGGTGTTGATAACACAATGTAGTATTATGCATGGGATCCTAGAGCAGAAAAATAACATTAGGTAAAAACTAAGGAAAAGTGAAAGAGTACAAGCTTTACTTAGTAATAATATATTAATACTGGTTCATTAATTGTAACAAATGAATGATACTAACATTAGTAATAATAGGAAAACGACAGGGTATTTGGGAAGCCTGTAGTTTCTTCACAATTTCTGAAATTTCCTCTGAAAGTCTACAACTGTTTTAAAATGACAAAGGTTAGTAAAGAAAAAGATTGAGAAAACCAAAATGAGACACCACTTCACACCCACTAGCATGGCTATAATAAAAAACACAGACAATAACGAGTTTTAAAGAATATGTGGAGAAATTGGAATTCTCACACTACCACTGGAAATGTCAGACAATGCAGCCATTTTGAAAAACAGTCTGGCAGTTACTCAAAAAGTTAAATAGGGCCGGCCCGTGGCTCACTCAGTAGAGTGCGGTGCTGATAACACCAAGGCCACGGGTTCGGATCCCACATAGGGATGGCCGGTTCACTCACTGGCTGAGCGTGGTGCTGACAACACCAAGTCAAGGGTTAAGATCCCCTTACCGGTCATCTTTTAGAAAAAAAAAAAAAGTTAAATGTAGTATTACCATATGACCCAACAATTCCACTCCTAGGAATATATCCAAGGAAACGAAAACATAAAACCACTAGGAAAACTTACACACATTGTTCACAGCAGCATTATTCATAATAGTCCAAAAGTGGAAACAATCCAAATGTCTATCATATACAAAATGTGACATAACCATATAATGTGTATACATACATACATACAATGTGGTATGACCATACAATGGAGTGACAGCCATAAAAAGGGATTAAGTACCAATACATGCCACAACATGAAAAAACCTTGAAAACATTATGCTAAGTTAAAGAAGCCGGTCACAAAATACAAAATATTATATGATTCCATTCATATGAAATGTCCAAAATAGGAAAATCCATAGAGATAGAAAGTAGACTGGTGGTTTCCTAGAGCTGAGGGGTTTAAGGGGTAATGGAAAATAACTGCCAAAGGGTATGGGTTTTTTCTGGGGGCAATAAAAATGTTCAAAAACCAATTGTGGTAATGGTTGTACAACTTGTGAATATACTAAAAACCACTGAATTGTAGATATTATTTAATCTGTTTGTTTTTGGTGGCTGGCTGGTATGGGGATCCGAACGCTTGACCTTGGTGTTGTAACATCGTGCTCTAACCAACTGAGCTAACTGGCTGGCCCTGAACTATAGATTTTATTTTATTTTATTTTTTTTAAAAGATGACCGGTAAGGGTATCTTAACCCTTGACTTGGTGTTGTCAGCACCACGCTCTCCCAAGTGAGTGAACCGGCCATCCCTATATGGGATCTGAACCCGTGGCCTTGGTGTTATCACCACCGCACTCTCCCAAGTGAGCCACGGGCCGGCCCTGAACTATAGATTTTAAATGGGTGATTTATATGGCATGCAAATTATGTCTCAATAAAGCTGTTCTTTTTTTTAAAGACTGATTACAGATCACTATATAATTTCTGCTAAATAACTCAGAAGGAATTGAGAGAATTTAGTTTCACTGACCTAACAATTTTATTTTAAAAAATTATTTCCAGTTAGCTCAGTTGGTTAGAGTGTGGTGATGATAACACCAAGGTCCAGGGTTCGATCCCTGTACCAGCCAGCTGCCCAGAAGGAAAAAAGAAATCATTATCATATGTAAATAAGATTTCTTAGTTCTTGCATCTGACATAAACCTATGCCACATAATGATGTTTCGGTCAACAATGGACTGCATATATGGTTGCGGTCCCATAATATCACAGTGGAGCCAAAAAATTTCTATCACCAAGTGACAGTGTAGCCATAGTAATGCAGTGCGACTACTTTTTTTTTTTTTCCTCCTTTTTTTTTTTTCGTGTCTGGCAACGGATCACAACCCTCAGTGTCGCGCCCGTACCGGACCGGGACCGGCAACGGGATCACAACCCTCAGTGCTGCACCCGCACCTCACTCAGCCAGTAAGCGGGAACCGGTCTGTATGTGGGATCTGAACCCTTGGCAGGAGCGCCACCGCACTCTCAAGCGGCGCACTGTAGCAGTGCGCCACCAGGCCGGCCCAGTGCGACTACTTATTAAAAAAAATATAAATTTAGTGTGGCCTAAGTGTATGGTGTATATAAAAGTCTACAGTAGTGTAATGTCCTAGGCATTCACATTCACTCACCACTCACTCACTGACTCACACACAGCAACTTCCAGTCCTGCAAGCTCTGTTCACAATAAGCACCCTACTCAAGTGTACCATTTTTTATCTTTTATAGCATATTTCTACTGTACCTTTTATGTTTAGATTGATACAGAAATACTTATCATTGTGTTGCAATTACCTACAGTATTCAGTAGAGTAACATGCTGTACAGGATTGTAGCCTAGGAGCAATAGGCTATACCATATACCCTAGGTGTATAGTATGGTGTATCTCTAGGTTTGTATAAGTACACTTTATGACATTCAAACAATGACCAAATTGCCTAACAAGACATTTCTCAGACCATATCCCTGCCATTAAGCGATAATGCATGTGACTGTATGTGTGTGTGTGTCCTTGTGTGTGTGTGTATATACACACACATGCATGCACACTTGTATAGGTATGTATCAATGTGTCTGCCTATGAAATTAAAATTGAACTCTGCCTCATTCTAGCAATGTAATAATTATTCACAGATATATGACCTAACAGAAAGCAAATGTTTATCTGATTAAGAAATGCATTTCTAATAATTAAGTGTAAAAAGAAAATCAGAAGTATATATTGTTTTTAAGCAACTGAATACTAAAAATAATAGTAGTAACTCAATACAGAAATAAATTTAACATTTATATGTATAGATTTTTGTTGCAGAAAAAAGTATTATGGGGGTAAAGAAAAGTATTATAGGATAAACAGTACAAGGCTATCAAGCATAAAAATTTCAAGTATTATTAGGGCTGGCCAGTTAGCTCAGTTGGTTAGAGCAGGGTATTATAACACCAAAGTCAAGGGTTTGGATTCCTGTATTGACCAGCCACAAAAAAAAAAAAAAAAAAAGATAAAACTCAGTAGCGGGCAGGGAAATGGAAATCTGAATTCAAGGAAAAAATTATTTTTTAACTATTTAAATTTATGGCTAAAAATTGCACTTAAAAACATGGAACAGTATAAATAGTTTAAAAAAATTCTTCTAAGGGAGTGTACAACCATCTCCCTCACATACAGAGTACTACTCTAAACAAAAAGATGATTAAATATCTATCCATGTAGATAAATCGATAGATCAATCAATCATTAGATGGATAATCAAAGGAAATCATAAGAGATATATGAGTATTCCAAACCATCAGAAAAAACACACACACCCAATAAAAAACACCAAATAGTAGTATAAAAAGTCCATTTTGAGTTTGTAAAGACTAAGTCTTTTCTGCAAAAAGCAATTAAGAATCCTTAAATTAAAAAAGCAACCAATCCAAACACAAAAGTCATGGGATCCAAAGAAGCAGGGTAGAACTTAGATAGTGTAAGAGGAAGAATTCAGACTTAATCCACAGTGAACATAGAGAGTAATATACATTATTGCTCAGAAAATGATACAAATGTCTTAAGGCTCTAGTTGGAGACAGAACAACCAAATATAGGAAGGATTCTTTTGTACGGGTTAAAAGACAATATGTAATATTACTTTACAAAGGCGCAAAGAAAATACAGACTCATCCAAAAAACAGATCATTTCTTTTTTTTTTTAAGCCTTCCCCTTTGTAATTAAAGGTTATTTCTTATGTAACACTTTACCTCACATTCTGAGTAGGATTCCACCTTTCAGAGGGCAGTTCTCCACTCTGTGGGTCATCTACAGGCGGATGAAGAATTGAAATGCATACATCTCCATTCTACAAGACACAAATATCACATCTGGTAAATACTCAAAAAGCAATGTATGAAAAGGGACATCAGTTCTGCTGAAGTTTCCTTCATTCCCAGAAACTTGTTTTCTTTTTATTAAGGGGAGGAAAAAATTCTGTTTTTTCTTTGCTTTCAAAATCAAAGTAAAGAATTAAAAAAATTTTAATATTATAAGTATTAATTTGACCTATTTCCAAAATATGTTTTTTCTAAAGAAACTTTAGAGAGTGGTGTTATAACACCAAGATCAAAGGCTTGGATCCCCATATTGGCCACCAAAACAAAAACCACTGTGTCTTTAGTGCCATCCTTCTTAAACAAACTCGGACAAAAAAGAAATAGACAACATGATAAATCAATATTCAAAAGAGTCTTGCGGGCCGGCCCAGTGGCGCACTGCTACGGACCCTCCCGCCGAGGGTTCGGATCCCACATACAGACCGGCCGCTCACTGGCTGAGCGAGGTGCGGGCGCAACACCGAGGGTTGCGATCCCGTTGCTGGTCCCGGTCCGGTACAGGCGCGACACTGAGGGTTGCGATCCGTTGCCGGTCACGAAAAAAGACAAAAAGGAAAAAAAAAAAAAAAAGAGTCTTGCGAAGCAACCAAATATATCCCTTTGTTTTCAAACATATCTATACCAAAAGTACATAAAAAGAAACAAATATGCCCATAGAAACTTAACTATAACTTCCTCAGTTATATTAACTCATCACTATGGTTAATATATTTTGCTTCATAAATTATCTAACATAATCCACAAGTACAGTTAGATGAATTTTAATACGTGGATTCAAACATGTAGATTGTGTACCATATGCAATACAGAGTGCTTATTCAATAGAAAATACAAGGTTGAGTAAAATATTGTCAAGTCACTTGACACTATCTGTTAGGACTTAATCTAAACTGGAAGATAAAATTTAAGGTTATTTTTTAATTGGAGGTATAACTAATAAAAGTGCAAAAAACCTTACACATACAACGCAAATTGAAACACACACAGGAATGAATATATATAAATGTATGTATGTATAAATAACATCACCAAGCTAATAGAACATTTAAAAAAAATTAAAATTAAAAGACCAAAAAACCCAAATACTGTATTTTAAAACTATGTAGTATGGTTAGATACGAAAAGCTTCGTGAAAACTTTGAGAAGGCTTTGAGATGGGCCTTTAATAATGAGTACAATTTTACCGCCTAAGGGAAATTCAGATATGTTTGTCTGCAGAAATAAAGCATCATCATAAATAGTAGAATAAAATATGCTTGTGTTCTTGTATTTATTTTCTATTGCTACTGTAACAAACTACCACAAACGAAGTGGTATAAAACAACAAAAATTTATTATTTTACAGTTCTGTAGGTTGAAGTCTTCCAGGCAAAAATCAATGTATCAGCAGCACTGCATTCCTTTCTGGAGGCTCTAGAGAAGAATCTCTTTCCTTTTCTAGGTACCAAAGGCCATTCTTTGCCCTTAGCCTCCTTTCTCTATCTTCAAAGCAATATTTCATTTCTCTCAGCCTTTCTTCCAAAGTCAGATCTCCTCTAACTAATTTTCTGCCTCTCTCTTTCACTTTTAAGGGTCCTTGTGATTATACTGAGCCTACCCTGACAATTCAGAATAATCTCCCAATTTTAAGGTCAGCTAATTAGCAACCTTAATTACCCTTTGACATGTAACCTAACACACTCATAAATTCCAGGGATTAGGATGTGGACATTTTGGGGGACCATTATTCTACCTACCCAGTAATGAATGGCCCAGTTTTGATGAAGAACAGGGTACAAAAACTAGGAATGTGTTACTTGGTTTGGAGTTTAATATGTATATAAATAAAAGTTCTTAGTAGTATAATAACATGAACAGATTTGCATTTAGAAGTGACATATTAAAAGATGGGCATCCAAGGGCCGGCCCCTGACTCACTTGGGAGAGTGCGGTGCTGATAACACCAAGGCCACGGGTTCGGATCCCTATATAGGGATGGCCACTTCACTCACTTGGGAGAGTGCGGTGCTGATAACACCAAGGCCACGGGTTCGGATCCCTATATAGGGATGGCCACTTCACTCACTTGGGAGAGTGCGGTGCTGATAACACCAAGGCCACGGGTTCGGATCCCTATATAGGGATGGCCACTTAGCTCACTCGGGAGAGTGTGGTACTGATAACACCAAGTCAAGGGTTAAGATTCCCTTACCAGTCATCTTATTCATAATTAATTAATTGATTGATTGATTAATAAATAGATTGATTGATTGATTGACTAATTAATTAAAAAAATAAAAGATGGGCATCTTAATTGATGCAGACAATGCATTTGACAAACTCCAACACTCTTCCATGATAAAAACACTCAGGAAACTATGAATAGAGGGAAATGATCTTAATGTGATAAAGAGTATTTATGAAAAACCACAGCTAACATCATACTCAATGGTGAAAGACTAAAAGCTTTCCTCCTAAGATCAGGAACAAGACAGGAATGCCTGCTTTCACCACTGCTATTTAACATTATACTGGAAGTTTCTAGACAGAGCAATTAGACAGGAAAATGAAATAAAAGGAATATGAATTAAAAAGGAGTAATAAAACCATCTCTATTCACAGATGATATGATCATGTATATGGCAAATCACAAAGAATCCACAAGAAAGCTACTATAGCTAATAAATTCAGCAAACTTATAGGATACAGAGTCAACACCCGGTTTTATTTCCATGTACCAGCAATGAATAACCCCAAAAGGATGTTAAGAAAATAATTCCACTTATAATTGGCATCTAAAAGAATGAACCTGGGCTGGCCCGGTGGCGCACTGCTACAGTGCGCCGCTTGGGAGCGCGGAGGCGCTCCCACCAAGGGTTCGGATCCCACATACAGACCGGTTCCCGCTCACTGGCTGAGTGAGGTGTGGGCGCAACACCGAGGATTGCGATCCCGTTGCCGGTCCCGGTCCGGTACGGGCGCAACACTGAGGGTTGCGATCCGTTGCCAGACACGAAAAAAGACAAAAAAATAAATAAATAAAAAATAAAAGAATGAACCTAACCAAGGAAGTGAAAGACTTATACACTGAAAACTACAAAACATTGCTCAACAAAATTTAAAAAGACCTAAATGTTAACATGGCATTATTACCCAATTTGATCTGCAGATTCAACACAATTGCATCAAAATTCACCTTCCTTTTTCTGCAGAAATTGAAAAGTTGATGCTAAAATTTACATGGAAATTTAAGGGACCCAGATAGCCAAAACCATTAAGTTGGGGGACTCATCCTTCCTGATTTCAAAACTTACTACATCCCTATACTGGCCGGCCACCACCACCACCAACAAATGAACAAAACTTACTACAAAGCTACAGTCAACAAAACAGTTTAGTTACTGACATGAACATGCAGACCAATGAAATAGAACAGAGTCCAAAAATAATCCCATACATCTATGGCCAACTGATTTTTTACAAACATGCTAAGATATTGAAATGAGGAAAGAACAGTCCCCAAAAATGGTGCTAGGACAACTGGATTTCCACAAACGAAAGAATGAAATTGGACTCCTACCTCATACCATATAGAAAAATTAACTAAAAATGGATCAAAGATCTAAAACCATAAAATTCTTAAAACATGGGGGTAAATCTTCATGACCTTGCACTTGACAATGGATTAGATATGATAACATCATGAGCAACAAAAAGTGTATAGATAAGCTGAACTTCATTAAAATTGGAAAATTTTTGTACATCCAAAGGACATTATCAAGAAAGTAAAAAGGTAACCTATAGAATAAGAGAAAATATTTGCAAATCATATATATAAGCATTTAGTATCTAAAATATATAAGGAACTCCTAAAACAACAACAAAAAGACAACCCAATTAAAAAATGGGGAAAGGATAGACATTTCTCCACAGAAGATACACATGAAAGAATGATCAACATCATCAGTCATTAGGGAAATGCAAATCAAACCCACAATGAGATATCACTTCACACCATTTCAAGACGGCTATAATTAAAAAAAAAAAAAAAAGTAATATAACAAGTGATCATGAGGATATGGAGAAACTGGAACCCTCATACACTGTTGATGGGAATATAAAATGGTTCAGCTGCTGTGGAAAAAAAATTTGGTAAACACAGAATTCCCATTTAACCCCACAATTTCACTCCTAGGTACATACTCAAAAGAACCAAAAACAGGTACTCACACAAGTACAGGTGCATAGTCATAGCTGCACTATTCACATGTCCAAATGGGAGACACAATGTCCATCAACAGATGGATGTAGAAACAAATTGTGGTATATCCATATAGTGGAATACTATTTAGTCATAAAAAGAAATGAAGTGCTGTTACATGCTACAAGGGGAATGAACCTCTGTAACATTATACTAAGTGTTAAGGAGCCAGGCACAAAAGGTCACATTTTGCATGACTCCATTTATATTAAATATCCACAATATATAAATTCACAGAGACAGAAAACAGACTGGTGGTTGCCAGAGACTGGTCTCTTCTGGGAAATTTAAAAATATAATTTATAATAATATGGCTTTATTTTCTGGGATCTCTTGATATATCCAGTATCAAATGTTGAGGAGTTGATTTATGATTCTCATCAATTTTATTCCTAATGTCCTATCATCCATCTAAAGAATTATAAGTATTATAAAATATGTATAAATATGCCCAATCACAATTTATATAGCCTAAAATTTATTATTCTAAAGGGCAATGATTGTACACTTTACAAAAACCTTTAATATTGCAGATTCTTAGGAAATTCACGTTATACTGGTTATTTGACATGAGTTATGAACTGAATGTTTGCATATCCCTCCTCCCCAAATTCTATATGTTGAAGCCCTAATCCACAGTGTGACGGTAGCTGGAGATGTGGCTTTAGGTATTAATTAGAGTTAGTTGAGATCATGAGGGTGAGTCCCTGGTCTGATGAGATTAGTACC